TCATAATAAATTCTTCTCACTTGATATGCTCCCTATATATATATATATATATATATATATATTTCTAAAAAAAATATGACATAGAAAGGAATGAAAATATAATATTGTTTTGTTAGCAACCCTGTAGTTTCAAGTAATTATTACAAAGCTTATAGTTAGAAATTAGAAGACTTGATTATGAATTGATAAATATATGATTAAATTGATTGAGTCCTCCAAACTTTTTTTTCTTCTAGTTTTAGCCTAATAAATTTTAAAAAAAATTGAAAAGATTTTATTATCATTTAGTGGTGATGTAACATGCTTCAAATTATATTGCGTGGAACACAATACTGTAGATAAAAATCAAATTCGACAATATATTTATAAAGATTAAGAACATTTAATCGGTTGGGTATAGTTTTCAAGGGACTGAATAGAAATAACAGTCTATGAATAAGTATCAATAAGTATGTTTATCACGTAGGGTATTGAAGAAAAATAAGTTATCAATAAATTAAAATAAAAATTTTAATACAAATGGACATATGAAAGTGCATGTACAACAATATAAAAGTAAGCCTAGACACTGTTTTCACCGAACCACTTAACTCTAAATAACCCTTCCTACCAAATCAATGGTTTGATTAATTAATTTGCAAGCCAAAACACTAAAGAATAGAGGCATAACAACAACCTATTACTAGGTTGACATACTATGTATGTATCCATCTGTTAACCCAAACTTCCTTCTAAACAGAAGTCTTTCGGGTCATGCAATGTCAATGGGTATATGCTTCTGTTCCATTGACTAATTAACACAACTAACCAGTGAATGTAATCAAACAAGCATTGCTCATGCACATAGTCCAAATCCCATCAAAGAAATTATCTCAGTTGGGGAACAAACAATTAAGTGCAGTATGCATAAATAGGGTCTAGCACAATTGTTTGAATAGAGTGCATGAATGTTGTAAGGTCCTATGGTACCTATGTTCAATTCCCAAGGACAAAAAAACCAAAAATCTATTAACTGACAAAGAGAAACTAACGAAGAAAGTTAAGGTTAAGTGATGGGGATGCAAAAGATGCTATTAAACAATATCTCTAATTCAAAGGAAGTCCATATCAATAAAATATGGTTCTTCCAGCCTATGCTTTGAATCTCATCAAATTTGGTGTTTTTTTTTTCTCTCTCTCTCTAGGTTTTACTCCTTCGTCCTTCCACTCAGATTTTCTCTCTTAAATACCAAAAATAAGATCATCTCTTCCTAAACAAAATGGGACTCCAAAACTCCACTAAAACCAAATAACACGTCCTGTAGCATGAAACTAGTGCACCGCATCATTCTGGTCATAGGACATCAGCAGAATGTTGGACATAGCGTGATGCAATGCATGCAACTGAGCGCCAACACATAATTACTCAACTACTCTTTCGTTTCTTCTTCAGGTGGCTCTCATTTGAGTCAATTCCTCCTTCTGTGGTCTGTTTTTTGCTTCTTGTAATTATATTGCTACAATGAAAAGTCATTATTTAAATTAGATCTAAAAAGATACCAAATTTCAAAGATTTAGCAAAAAATTTACCAATATCAATAGCACTAATGAATAAGGAAGAAAGTTGTTGCCATCAACTCAAGGATAAAGCAAGACGATTATATACAAAAGTATGACTTAAATAACTCCATTCATTTATGCCTTAAATAACACCATTAAAAAATTATGAATTGTAAGAAAGTCTTGAAAACTAACGAGGTTTTACATGGTGTCCAAGGAGAATTGACCACAAATAGAAGTGAATCAACCGATAGCTTAGGTGTACAGAGAGGAATGAAAAGAAACGTAACAAAGGAACTTAAAAAATTAACTTCGGGAACGAATTCTATCAACTCTGTGAAGGATATGCATGGACATATATAGGGGCAAGTATCAAGGTAGAAATTATCATAAAAATATGCATGAATAATAACTCTTAGGGTGTGTTTAGTTGGCATCACAAGATGAAATTGTGGAAAGCGTCACAGGTTCCTTTCCCGCAAAATACAACTTTAAGGAAAGGAGAGGCCATAACTGTGACTAAGCTCCAAATGATTCATCTGTGCGGAAGCAAAACACTAAAAACAAATAAATAAATAATGTCATAAAAAAATAATAAGATGGAATGGTCTACACCCAAACCAAGGTTTCAACGATACAGAATACAGTAATTTAAATTAATAAGAAAAACATACTTAAAGAAAGTGTCAGATAATTGGAGAGAATGGAGTAACAGTATTTATTATTTAATACCAAAACAAAAGTACTAAGCAACGAAACTTAGTTTTCTCTACGGAGGATTCCTTCTCATCAAATGAATATATACGTCTCAACTATCTACCATAACATTGTTTAACGTTAAAAATGTGATACAAACTTTTAGAATAAGCTAGATTATTATAGAAAAATACATAAGTATATGCTAGTAATTACTAGATAATACAAATTCTAGAATTATATATAGATAAAAAATTTTAAAATAAATATATCTAGAATCCTCTATATAAAACATGAATAGTAGTGTTGAGTCCTATAAATAGGCTATATATCAACATTTATAATCAAATAACTAGGAAGTCATTTTTACTCAAATTTATCCCAACTATTCCTCTAAGTTAGTTTTCCTTTCGACTAAACTTATCGATATAAATTTGTCTCCCTATTCTTTCTACCAATCAAAGAAGATTTTACTATTTGATAATTCATAAAGTAACATTTACATACAACAATCAATGAGGCTAGAATTTAAAAAACACCAATATAGTAATGTTAACCATACCATTTCTCCTCCATGACTTCAGTTAGCAAGTGGCTGAGACCTTTTGTCAAAGCTGACATTGAGGTTAAAGATGCTTTCAATATGTTTAAACCCTGTACCATGTCAACATCATAAAATAAGTAACAGCAACATAATCTGCAGAAAATCAGTATACCATGAAAAAAACAATACAAATCAGATAAGGTATAGTGTAAGACTTTCTTACTTCCTTAATGCCAATGACGACAACTTTTTCCTTCAAGTCATTAAGAGATAAGTTTAACTGGTTGAGTAAAGATAAACCCAAAATTGGAGACATTGGCGTCACAAACAAGTCATCAGTAGCCATGAATATTGCTGGTCCCTTGGCAAAACCTTTATGACTTCCAGTAGATGACTTGGGATCCACGAAGTTCATATCTTTGTAAATATCATCCTTAACATGACAATCAAATTGTGCAGTCTGTTCACAAATCGGTAACATCTGCTTGCTTATGCTTGATTGGAACATTGCAGTAATGCGAGGACCAACAAGCATGTTCTTCTCTTCCTTTGATATATAATATTTTTCATCTAAATCAACTACGCTCTTATACAACGCATCAATGCAGCCCAAAGAAGAACATCCTCCTAACCTACGCACTACTCCCCCCAAAGGTAAAGTGAGAAAACTTAGAAGGAAGTCAGCAAAATCTTCTTCCCCTTCAGCAAACAATATCTTCCCATCTGATTTTCTCATAACTAGCTTCACTTTGATTTGAACATTACTACTGTTTTCGACAACAACAGGAGAAAAGCTCAACTTCTCAGTATCATCCAATAAATTCTTTGATAAGAACAAATCCGTCAGAGCTGACTTGGACAATAAAGAACATTCGAGCATATCCAGAACCTATACAAAGAATAATCAATAAATAAAAATCACATTATATAGCAAGGTATTGGTTAATAAATGAATTGAAAAGAAAACTCCGTAGGTGACATGCATAAAGGAAGTAATAATAAACAACCAATAAGTCCATAACCAAGCAATGCAAAACTCCAAATGTAAAATAACCTTTGTCCTGGTGACATTCACAGTCATTGTCCGTACAGAACTCAAGTTTTCTACTCCACATTTCTGCAAGAAACCAAGGTCTGTATCCATTGTGTTTGGAATGACAACCAGATCATCCGTGATGATAAAAGTAGAACCAACATTTACAAATCCATTTAAGGCATTCCTTCTGGCTGCTATAGCACGGTCCATCGGATTTCCACATTTGCATCGTTGATTTTCAAAGTTAGACAACATGTAATGGCTGCAATAGGGTAACTTAGTACACAAGAAGTACCTCAAGGGCTCCATGTCCTCATCAATGTTGATTTTCAGATCCCTGCAATAATCTTCGGCGAAATTCGTCGGCCGCATAAGCATTTGTTTACATGTCTCAGTCCCCACACACCCTGGGTCAAGTTTCTCCACACATTCAAGGAGTGAGCTTAGACAACCAAATCGAATTGGACCCAAGTCTGATATTTTATCCACAAGCCTGGCGATGGTTCCTAAAGGCATTGTTAAGAAGCTAAAGAGAATATCCACAAAGTCTTTTCCTGCCTCTGCAAATATGACTTTGTCGGTCTCTTTGTTCACCAGAAGTCTTAACGAAACTTGTTCAGACTCAGCCATGGAATTATCAGACTCAGACATGGTAGCAACAACCAACAAGAAGCAAAGTTTTCTTCTATTATTACAGCTTTGAACGACTTTTGAATATAACCAAACAAGGATGCAATATGATCCAACGCTGAATTCACTTCGTATAAATTAGGGTTTTGCTAACAGTGACTGCTATAAATCAAATGATACACAACAAATTTATCAATAAGTATAGCAGAAATGATCCAGAAAGTAGAAAGCAGACACATCAAACCTAGAAATGCCACCAAGGCAAGTTGCTTCCTTTCTACGGTGACGAGAGAGAGAACCCTTCGTTCGTTTCTTTCTTCAATATCTTTGCAACTTCGTTGAAGGAGAAACGGAAAAAGCAGAACTTCATAAGAGGAATATGGGAGCAAAAGCTTGTGAAATGTGAAATGAAATGAAGATGAAATGGGTGTCGGATGCATTTCATCAACGCGCAGTGCTATATTTTGCGTCGGAAAATAAATTTTGATCACCCATGCCAATATGCCATGACGCAAACATCGTCCATCACACGCATAAACATATTACTAAATAAACAAAAATTATATATGATATTAACAATATTATTCATAAATTATTGATAAATTAAAGTTTAATATTATTATTCAAATAGTTATAAGTAAACTAATAATTTGATACATATGAATTAAAATATATTTAATATATACTTTTAAAGAAGTATAAATATATAATATGTAATATAAGTATTGAGTACCTAGTTTTTATATTTTGGTTATTAAAATTTATATTTATTTTATATATTTTAAATTTTATCACATGTATTCGAAAAGATTATATCATATATTTTTATAATCAGTTTTTTAATATAGTTATATCATTAATAATATTTTTATATTTTAAAAGTACATTAATATATTTAAATGTTATTTATTTAATAATACTAAATATACTTTTTTAATACATAAATGAAATTTATAATTTATGTAACTTAATTAATTAATCTATAAATATACAATAATACTATCAATAATTATAAAAACTATTAATATATTAAAAAATTATTTACTAAAAGTAAATCCATGGTCTTTGTTAAATGAGTTTAATTATTATAATCTATACAACTTAAACTCAATAACTATATAATTTAAAAATATTTGACAATAATAAATTAACATATTAATAATCTTATTAATAATAATATATTAATAATATTATCAATATTAATATATCAATAATATTTATTTAATAATAATAAATATACGTGTGATTTTGATTTCTATATATATATATATATATAAATTTTTATATTAAAAAAATCATTAGTTTAGATAGTTAAGTGTTATTATCGAAATTGCACACTTTTACGATTGTAATATTTGTGGGACTTAATTTGATGAATATTGAAATTTCAAAAATTAAAATCGTACAATTTTCTAAGGAGAAAAAACATGATAATATTTTTTTTAATGATTAAAATCTATTTAGATGGCTATAAATGCTTTTGTAAATTTTTTTAAACTTAAAAACCAAAATATTTTTACTAACAAAATTTTCTTTTTAACTTAAAATTTTTAGTTTCTCAACTTCTCATAAAAATAACTTTGTGGAAGTATATATATATATATACGAGTTAATCACTTATACACTGTCCGTGTAAAGTTTTTTTACACTGACAACTAATTATATCTTTTAATTGTGTCATATCACTGTAAACACATTTATTTTTTATAGTGACATGACTCAATTAAAAGATATAATTGGTTACTAGTGTAAAAAGTTTTTATACTAGCAGTGTATAAGTGATTAACTATATATATATATATATAAGGAGGGTTCAAACGACACCGGTATAACTTTTACTAAGTGTTACACCGCTCAATAACTTTATATTAAATGTGAATTTTGAAAATCCAACCGTTAGATTGAAAGTTCATATATCTTATATCATATATATCAAGTTTTATATTAATCTAAGATGATTTGATATTTCATTCTCATAAAATAAAATTGACGTATATATATATACATTTCAAATATACTAAAATATGAACACTTTGATTACCTTCAAGCTACTATTCAATTTTAACAAAATTTGACATATATAATCTAAGAGATATGAACTTTCAATCTAACGGTTAAATTTTAAAAATTCACATTTAATATAAAGTTATTAAGCAGTGTAACACTTAATAAAAATTATACCGGTGTCGTTTGAACCCTCCTTATATATATATATATATATATATAAAGGGATATATTTACTTTACACAGATATATATATATATATATATATATATCCACCAAACCTCGTTTCTTAAAAAAATCCTATTTTTTTTAAGATGATAAACTAAATATAAAAAAAGTAAAATTCTCATATTCAAATTTTTTAAATGGTAAAAATTTCTGTTGACCAAAATTTCAGAAAAGGTGTTCACCGACAGGTATATAACATTTAATCTCGAGTATAATTTTAAGGGACATAATAGAAGTAATATTGTAATATTGTCATTCAATTACAACAAATTTCTTATCAAAGCGCAAATTAGCAATGATGGTTATAAAAAAAAGTATTTATAAAAATAAAACATTGAACCATTTGGAAATAGTTTTCATGGGACTTTATAAAACTAACACTATTTATCAGAATAAGACAATGACATCCAGTTAGTTAAATTATGAGTAACATGGCTAGTACTAGGTCAAAATAAAAATCTTGAGATAATTAAAAGCCTACTACTATGTTAGTTTAACTATGAGTAACATCGCTTAAAACACAATGACATGTATGTGTACCCAAACTTGCATCATCAATCGGGAGTGTTTTACAACAAACAATGTCAATGGGTATGCTTCTCTCTGATCACGGACAAATTAACAGACCCAAACACTGAATGTAGTCAAACAAACAAGCATTGCTCATACGTATAAAAAAAAAAACCCTGAGTGCACTACAAAAATTAATGTAATTAGCAGGGTTTTTTTTGTGGCGGTTTTAAAAAAAAACCACAAAAAAATATTTTTTT